GTGTGTGTCTGTACTGCCCTGCAATAGACTGGTGACCAATCCAGATTGTACATTACCTCTCACCTAGAGGCTACTAGAAACAGACCCCAGACCCAGAGGGAAAACATGCAGACTTGCTGACAGAACTGACTGACAGGTTCTGGCTTACAGGCTCCACAAACACTGCAACCAGCTCAGGGCCCATTGATTTTGATTCTTCCAGAAGATATTTCAGAATATTTCATAGTTTGTAATCCACATCGTGTGTAATTCCATATGTTTCCATCCAGAAATGCAGCCTGTCCTAAAGTGGAGTAATCCCGTCCACCAGAAAACAAAGTTGGAGGCCACAGCTCATCTAATCTGAGCTGACCTTTACATGACTGTATTAAGTCACGCTTCAGATAAGGATGCTTTGGAGTCCCACATATCAAAAAAAAAAAAAAAAAAATCTGTAGAATTAACTGTTGTGCACAAGAGGAAGAATAGACACAGATTCAGCCCGGGGGTTTCTCTGCCACGTCCTGAACCGAAGGCACATAAAAGAGTTTCCAAATCCTCAAGAGAAATAACTGCCTCTTAATGCCTGACAAGTCTGTGGAGTGGGACTGAGTGAATGCGAGATGGGATTGGATCTGTTGTGTTGGCATGAGCAACTTTCTTTCATCCTTTACCAAATACAATCGTTATAACTTTTTGTGTTTCTCACAGTCCTGTTACACCCAAAGAGAAGTGGAAAACAATACATAAATGAATAAATATGGATAGTCAACAAAACCATTTGATGCCTCAAATCAATTTGGCAAAACAAACACCCGTCTGCATTCAGGAAACCTTTGCCACGTAGGCATTACGGTTAAAGATCACTTTGATCACCGTTCTGACCTCAGATCCATCCGACTCAGGATTGCAGTGATGATGCAGCAGCAGAAACTAATGGACATCGCCTTTGTGTGTCTGATCATTGACATCAGAGTGGAGCGATTACAGAGCCACTTCAGCGGCCATTTAACTGCTGCTCCACTCATCACATCTATTTAATTCTATTAAGATACTGCAGTATTGCAACTAATGAAACCGCAGCGGCTCTACATGCGCAAAACGGTTATGAAAACAGTGGAAACCACTCATGCAGAAGGAGAGAATCCAACGGTTGACTGACACAGCAGAGAGGCAGAGACCCAAGATGTCTGTCTGATGTACATTAAAAGACAAGAGGCGAGGTAGCAACAAGTGATGGTCGCAGCTTTCAGGTTGTAGACACAACCGAGGTCGGGGATTTCAAACTGGAAGAGATGTGCGTGATAAATTCAGATCACACATTAGGTTCTCTGCGTCGGATAAGCTGAACACAACGCGCCCTGATAACAGCACATCAAATGTGTGATAGAGGACCAAATCGACTTTAATGCCTGCGCTTTAATCTGTTGGCCACACACTGAACAAGTGAACGGATGTCGGGGATAAACCCTGCAGTTTCAATTAGTATGAGACCCGACTCTTCTCCATTGGTGGGTGCCGCTTGGTATGGCAGACAACCGCTGCGTCTGCTGGCTCAAAGCGGTCACTTCTTAGTGGGTCAGCGAGGACGTTAAAAGCTGTGATTTACAGCCAACGAAGCAGCTCAGCGAGCCTGTATTTACGGAGAATGAGGCCAACTTTGACCCAGATGGTACAAATAGTCTGATGTTTAGCAGATATGGTATTTGTCATGTTCAAAGTGACGTGTCTGTCATCTGACGTTGAAGCAGCTGGACAGAATTTGATCCCGTGGGGAGTTAGGTCAAAGGAACATCTGTGGTATTTTATTTTAGGCCAAGTTTGGGCGAGAAGGCTGCCTGGAAACTATTTCTGGATGTTGATTGGGGAAAAGTTCCACATTTAGATGAAACTGCGAAGACACCTTGAATCCGCTGTAATTGTGATGCTCAGCCTCTGTGTGGCGCTGTGATCTTAACATGGTGTCGAAACACACATGAGCTTTTGACCCTTAGGTTTGACCTAATTTAAGAAAACAGTAGCCCGTCTTCGTCTTCGATGTACCAAGAGCTCATGTGACACATAATGTATTTTTATCAGAAGATGTGTTAAGTACAGACAGCACAACGCCATCCGCCGCTGTTTTTGTTGTTATCTGCCCGTGCATGCAGGTGAGCGTTCTGCATTTGTGTTCCCAAAGTGTTTCACCATAAGACCTGGTTTGAGAAAGTGCCGCTGTTGGAGACGACAATAAGCAAAGAGATGTAAACAAGCAGCTGGACCGCAACAACAAAACGTCGCCATTTCACTAAAGGACAGCACTGTGTAAATGGAGGGGTTAGAGCCAATAGATTCAGTTTCTATTTAAGCACTTTTGACAGACTCAAGAAGGCGAAAAAGATATCCTTTACTCAACCTACAACAGAAAATCTTCTTGATAGCAGATTATCTTAAAAAAGATAATCATAACTCAAAAGCTTTGTGATTTATCGAGTTTCGAATAATTTAATTATTTTACAAAGCAGGAGAAATACATTGCATGAGTACTAAGACTTTATTAGAATTATGTAACAGAATTTCAAACACATTTACAGTCTCCACCCACAGGGGTCAAGCTGGACTCGTGCTGGGGGCTGAGAAAATAGCTTTGTGTCTTTCACCATGAAGATGAACAAAAGACAGAACCCTGTTTGTTCCTCATGTGCTGAGAGCAGAGGGGGAGTGTAATGAAGAGGTGGGAGGGGTGCATGTCTAATTGGTTGTGGGTTTGCGTTTGCGGTTGGGGCAGCCACCCTATTGAATATTCAATATGATGAATGAGCGTCAGGGCTTTTCACAGAAAACAGAAGCCTTGAAACGCAAGACCAGACCAAAGAAACTGCACGCTAAATGGGGCAACAAGAGCCATAGTATCCAGATTCGCCGTGTTAGTACTCTCACAAAAGGCACATTCTGGTTGTTTTTCTGACATCTTGAAAAAGAATCAAGCAAATAAACAACAAAAACTGAACACAAACGTGAAATCAAACAGGCATTTCACATCAGGTGAAAAGCATCGCAATTCGCAACTCAGCATTTTGATAGAGGTTTGAGCTGCTGTAAACTTTAGACACTTGCTGCAATGTGCAAGCGTTGGAAGTGAGAGTAAAAACCACAAAGAAATCGAAAGAGCTGTCTGAGGCCTTCGGAAGCAGCTTCTGAACCTGGAAAATTATTTAAAGAGGCCTCAAATGAATCTGATATTAATCTTTACACTGCACAAAAAAGGCGCTCAAAACAACTTACTCATGAAGGCGTTTGGGGCCTCTTACAGTCTGAAAACAGACTGTAAGAGGCTAAATGTAGCATCAAAAAAAATCCTAAAATCTCATTACATTGTCAAACAAGAGGTGCATAGCTATGCTACCAGAAAGAGACTGCTCACATTTCACTTTCATAGATAGAGAAAACTTTTGCTCTTCAAGAAAATGTGAGGGCAGGACTTTAGCCAAAGGGGACAAAAGGCAACGACGAGGACTTCTCTAAAGTCAGACAGATGAATAAGGTAACCATCTCACAGCTGAAAGTGACAAACTTTCCTCAAATTGATATCAAAGAAAGGTTGCTGTTTACAAGACTTGTCTCACAAAAGTTGTAGTTTTTAACCAAAGGAAGTACAATAGATATTAGGATACACTCCTGAACCAGTTAGGAGACACATTTTTGTAAACTTTTATGAACAATGAGTAAAACAATGGGGCTGTTTGGTCTTTGCAATGAAAGTACCATTAACCTTAAATTAAACATTTAATTTCGGCTTTTCTTTCAGAAAAAACGAATATTTAATGAGGTATTCTAACTTTCTTAATTCACATGCATGCATTTTTATAATACAGATACATGCATTTAAGATGATTTTATAAGTGATGTACAAAAATATTCAATATTGTTTTATTTACAAAACAGCAAAACATAAGTACTAGGCAACATAGACTTTAAACCTGTTTTTCTCTGTGTGTTGGGTCTTAACCACAAGGAGAAGGAAAGCAGGGCAAAATGACACACTTTGCAGAGAAAGCTCAGGGTAATTAGTTAGCCAATGCGAAGGTTTTTGCCTCAGCATAACTGGGCTAATTGTTCTGCTTCAATACTATGTGTTAAAAAAGGGTTTGGTGACAACCACCCTGGTCGTTTGTTACAGCTCCACTTACAGCAGCTCTTCTACAATAACCTACATTTCTCAAGATCCTGCTTCACATCTTAAGCAGTATCTCATCCCATTGCCAAGCACCGGTTGAAAGTCTCAGGCAGAGAAACTAGATTTCACAAGACAGACTGCATAACCAAAAATAGAGAAGAAAAGGGCATGTTGTTTGCTCCTAGAAATGTTAAGCTGAGTACTTGGAGGACAAATGCGGGCAAATATTTTGCATAATCTTCCAAATCCATCTCTTCAAACACTTGCTGCATTATGTGAAGCCGAGCGTTAAACACAGTATTGAAATAAAGTAACAGACAGATGGAGCAAACACCACTGCCTTGCAATTACCACTTTTCTAAAACTGGGGTAAACCTTTATCAAATACTTGCATTAAAGGGCCCCAATATGCAGAAAAAGGCTTACATGGATTCTCCCTGGGTGATGCAAACAATATCATGACGAATTTGCCATTTGAATAAATGAAACAAAACACTGCAGGAGAAAACACAAACACAGTGTCTTGTGTTATAATTGCGTGGGCGTTGAACCAGCATGACTAACACATGCACAGATGTGCTCATAAACACGTCAAAGTCCCCGAGAGCATTTGTTTCATCTGCCACCATATTAGCACGTAAGATATTAAACTATACAAAAATGTAAAAAAGGAACACAATGAAGAATTTGCAATAATTCACTGTGGTTTAGGTTTCACCCTGAAATAATAGATTATTAAAAGAAACTCTTGAATGTAGTGCATTGTTGTTTTAGCCTATTATTTGTATGTCTACTGTCTAGTCTACTGTGGGTGTAATTGAGCTCTGTGCATTAGCAGAACATTTTTATAGTACATCCAGCTTACTGTAATGGGAGACGTGCTGAAGCGAATCTTCCTCTTTGGTGGGATGTCCTCCTTGTTTTCTTCTGGCAGACCAGGGATCTCCGTCACATCGGAGCCTGGATCGTAGACAACATCCTCGTCATCACCGTACAGGTCATCATCGGGATCGGTGCAGCTTTCCCCCCATCCCTGGTAACAGGCGTCCCCATCAGCATTATAAATCACCCTCTCATTTCCTGTATATTCCTCCTCCGGTTCTTCAATTTGGTCCTTGGGTGGTTCAGGGGACGTTTCCTGCTTCAAAGCATCCACGTCGTCTTTGCTTTCTCCAGTTGGCGGGGTTGTGGTGGGCAGTGGCTCATGAGTGACATCTTCAAAAATTTTATTGGTAATCACAGTACTACGTGTGGATTTTGAGGCTTTGATGACTTCTTGGTCCTCAATAAGTGTCAGTGAGTCTGAGGGTTTTTCTTCTTCTTCACAAGAGCCGTTAACTTGGCTTCCATTGGTGGTATTGTACAAATTTTGCCTTCTAGAAGCTTCCCCGGTTTCGTCCTGGATCTCTTGATCTCGTGAACTCTCTTTTTTGGCTTCAGAAGTATCTGCTCCAGGGCTGGGGCTCTGGAAGTCCTCAGTGGATGAAGACGCAGGAAACTTGCCCCCGATTTTGTTCCGGTAGTTTCCGCGGATTGGAGATTGACGTGACTCATCCTCGCTGAGATCTCCTCCTTGACGGTAGGATCCATCAGGTGAGTAGAGGGCTCGCCTACTGGCTCCTCTATAGGACCCCCCTTGATTGTGTTGGTCAGCATTTTCAAAAACAGCACTGAGCTGACTAACGGTTGGCGATGATGCCTCGGTTCTGGAGCACAGAGAGTCCAGAGAGTCTGTGCTGCCTCTGTTGGACCTCGCTCCTCTCCAGTCGTCAAGGTGTTCATGAGAGCCCCTCTTATCGCGTCCGTAGGGAAAGACCGGTGATTGGGATTGGTCACGTGACTGTTGTTCAAATAGCTTCCTGGTTTCTGAAAACTTTGCCCCTGCACCGCCAATCCTCTCAGCAGATGAAGAATGTTGAAGTTTGATGACTGATCCATCAGTTTTGTTGATGAAGTTGGTGGGCTTCACTAGTTTTTGCGGCGAGGATTCATCCCGACCCCTGGCTTTACCGGTTGTATTTTCTGAGCCCATCTGCATGAACATGTCCTTAATGCGACTGACGTGAGCGCCATACTGGCGACCCCTTCGTTGTTTAACCCGCTCAAGGTCTTTGGGCTTCGAGTCCCCATCAATCCGAGGCTGGTCAAAGGCCCTCTTGAGTGCCTGAAACTCAGCCCGGTAGGCATTACGGTGGGGGGAGGCACTGCGGAGGCTGGTCCTCTCCCCCGAAGCCTCCGTCTTCAGCATGATGATGTCTTTGGGTCTAGAGGCAATGTCAGCATTGCTGTGACCTCAATAGAGTCCAAAGTCTAGCTGGGCCTACTTCAGTGCTTTAAGCCTAGTCACACCTGCAGAGAGAAAAAGACATGTAAGTAGACTGAATTTATATTTGACAATATCTTAACAACAGTCAATGCAGAACTTCTTTATTCTACCCACAGTGTTTTCTCAGAGATAAACACACATCTGTAAAAGCACCAGAGGCAACTTTGGGATGAAGAGTCCAGCCTGAGGATGTTGAATGAAAAGGCAGATGTTGTATTTTTCTGTGTACTGCACAACACACTCTTCCTCCTGACACTTCATGTTGTACCTCCAGACATAAACAATTATATGTAGCTAACTTTTCACTTTGTTAATAATTATAGATAAAAGCAAGAAAATATAATTTATGTTATCAATTACATATTTACATACTCTTCAAAAGACAAGTAGAACAAATATACTGCTTGATGTTATTGTACATAAGGCAAAAGCAAAAATAAGACATCCACAGATTCAAGGTATAAATGAAAATGTTTTAAAAAACGTACATGAGCACGCCATCATTCCTGCTACCTGAGGCATAAAGAATATTGAATATTAATGAATATTACAGGTCTAATAAAATAAGAATCAGCAAATATTAAATTTGCCGATTCTTATTTTTTACCAGAAAAAAAAAACCTGACAATTGTTTTAAAAAATAATGAAGTAAAACGTGGATTAGCCTTATTTCACCCAGCCAACCAGCAATAACAGCAATAGGTGGGGGCGGGAGGGGCAACATCGGTGCTTCTAATTTCAAAGCTTTAACTGCAGAAATATTTGGATGGACAACTTTGTGCGGTTTTACCCCGATCACACTGTTAGTGTCTTCAGGTCACACCCTTTGATATTTATAAATCTATACTTCATGTTAAGAGTCTTACATTTGTGTTCAAAGCTGTACAAAATATACTTGTTTTTTTTTTTTTTTTTTTTTTTTGATAACCATTTCTATTGAGAACATCACATGCCTTATGTTTGTTTGTTTGTTGTTCCAAAATGTCAGCCATCACTCGCTGACTGTGTAATCTATGAGCTTTAATGTTTCGCTGCAGACGGGTGGCACTTTTGGCAACATTTCTCTGCCTCCGGACACCGTAAAACTGGATTAAAGCAGACAAATATTCCATATCAACAGCCATTAATATTTAATCTGGTTCGGAAATGCATACCACACACAACATCAGGAAACACTGGGATAAAAAAAGAACAGAGGAACAACCATCCGGTACATGAAAAATCCATTAACCCGAGTTGTTCTGTAACCCACAAGCCTGAATGGTATAGATGTAAGAGTAACAGAAGCAGGGGCTGAAACCTAAATGTCCTGGTTCACTATTCATTATTCACCAAGCTGGACTCTTAACGGGTCACTTCTGTGAATTTCTTAAGCAATGCATTGATTGGTTTGATCTCCAGCACCACTGTGTGTGTGCGTGGGTGTGTGTAGGGGTGGGTGTGTGTGGGTGTGTGTGCGTGTGTGTGTGTGTGGGTGGAGGAGAGGGGGAGACCATAATGCTGTTTGGGAGGAGAAAAAAAAGTGAGGCTTTAGCACTGACTCAATTGAATCAGACAAACAAGCGCACATCAGCCACACCGCGCGGAGCATGACAGCTCGGACTGGCCCCCACATTTCCTCCTCCTCCTCCCCGGAGCCCTTTAACGTGCATTTATTTACATTTATCTCCTTTGGCATCTTTCTGAAAACAGGCGGAGCACATATGCGGTCAAATGTTCTCGGTGTTTTCAAGGCGGCGAAGTTATGACTGTTAGCCACAAAACCACTGCGATCTGACTCCTCTGCTATAAAAAAAAATAAAAAAAAATAAAATAAAAAAAAAAAAATAATAATAATAATAAAAAGACTTACATTCAACGCTCCAGCTTCGTTGGGCTCCTAACACGTACGAAATGTAATCCAGAGGACCAATGCTGGGGGGGGATATGGACGCTCTCGCTGGAAAAGCTTCCCAAAAATAACATTTCTCTCCCACGCTCTTAAACGGTCCAGGACGGAGTCGCCACTACGGAAACGCTTAGGCACACTGACGCCGCTTCAACGCCATTGCAGGCGGCGGGTGATGCTGCCAGTCGCACAATAGGGGTGTCGGGGCAATTTGGCAGCCCGCGTCGCCGAGAAACCAGCACTCTGGCGGCGTGTTCGCCGGAGGGCAGCGTCCGACCCACGTCCGCGTCGCGTCCAAGCGCACGAGCTCGCTGCGCCGATGGAGAGCGGCGTGGAAATATAACGCGTCATGTGACAGGTGCTCAAACCTAAACTGCGGCAATGGTTCGGTCCGATAATCTGCGCCGCGGAGGGGAGGGGAGAGAGCGGGGGTTGTTCGGGGAGCCTGCAGCCGGGCATAAATACCAACACAGCGACGGTAACTTCGCTGGAGGATGAGGCTCTGGGTGGTGTGGGGCCAAGGGCCACACTGATGCTGGTGGTCCATAGGAGAGGGGTTCCCAAACGGCGGTGCGGGGGCCAGAAAGTTTACAGCTGTTTTGTCGTCGTGCTGCAGTTCAACTGCCAGAACTTTACATTTAGACATAAAGGGATAGTTTGGATTTATTTATTTTAATTATTATTATAATTGTTGTTGTTGTTATTATTTTAATTTGGGTTCTAGGGAGTTGCGTTAAGTAGTCAGGGTCTTACATGCTGTACATTTCTGTGTACGTTTTTGATAGTGCGAAGAAGCACAAAAGTTTAATTGTCAGCCAGACTAGATTGGCTTTTCTGCCATTTTGAAATTGGCACAATTTGTTCCGCAAAACAAACTCACACAGAAAAGTGACAGTTGCTTGTGTTCAGCATTATCCCAGCAAACAGGAGTGTGTATTTTTTTCATCATGAGGCATTCCTGTCACAAAGAAGGGCATACTTTGTTTAAGTCAGACTGAATGTGATCATTCTTTCTTGTTCTCATTACTTAAAGTAACGGAACATTTTGAACCTTGGTGATGGAATTGGTCTGAAAGGCGTGAGTCGTTTGGCCGACGTGACAGACACACGTATTGCACTAATAGCTGATTCAGCGATCTGAATCAGCCGTATAAAGTTTTAGCAGAAGTGATAGTGCTTGAAAATAGAATGGTGGAAAAATGAATTTCTCAGCTGCAGCCTCTAACATCTAATATGACTCTCTGAGGTCATATTAGAAATAAATAAATGACTGAATATTCTTGTGTTGTATGCCAATGTGTGTTTAATTTATCGAAGAGATCCCAGGCATAACCTTACTCTGAACCTATCCCGGGTCTGACTTGTCATCAGTCAAAACGCCTTTCTCTTCATCCAGATTTTGATAACTGCAGAACCCACATAAGGTTATTGCTTGCAAAATAACAACTTTACAGCAACTTACTTCAAAAACTCAAAAGTGTTGCGCATTTACATCATATAACTAGTTTCATCCACGCCAACGTCATGTTTTAGAGAAAAACATTGTTCAGCTTTAAAAATACCTTCGCAGCTCTTAATTTGCTCCTTTGGTAGCCACATATTAATAAACTCATAAAATATCAAATTGTTTTTTTGTTTTAAATAGTCTTTTAAATAACTCTGACTCTAAACTCTTAAGATTTAAAAGAGGTGAGTTTCAAGTTGAGATACTCATTAATTTTGCGGTTTTAGGATTTAAAAGTATGTTTTATTGACATAAATCAACAATTAAAGTCTAGTATAGCTAACAAGCTGCTTTTTTATTCAAATTTTTATATATTTTTGGATCATCAACTCTAAAATGAAACCGTATACGCCCACTGTGACATGACTACATAGAGCTAGAGTTTAGTCTTTGAACTAACAACAAACATCTGCCTTATCAAAGCCTTGATTGTATTGGAAATGTCCAGGCAGTCCAATTTTGATTGAGATAAAAACTCAATATAACGTAATCTCCAACATGAATTCACTCACTTTTTTCACTACGTCCTGGATTTCTTCACTCTTTAACAAGCCGTGTTTAAGAATTTAGTTTCCAAGTCATTTAGGAATCTGAATACTGTTTTTTTTCGTTCATGCTTAGCAGGATCTATGCAAGTCCGACATTCCAGCTGGTTGGGTCACACTGCAGTTCACAGACACACCACCTAAAGCAGAAAATCATGTGATTAATCACGAGGAAACAAGGAAGCTTTTGTCAACTCCGAAATGTGTGATTCCTTTTACAGACGATCCAGAGTTTCTTCAGTGATTCTGCTATGGTATAATAGAGACCACTGTTAATTTCACATGTACAGAAAGTCTAACAATGTATAACAAGTGCTTGTCACTGATTTTGGGTTTTACTCTGAACTGTTTTGACAATTACATATTTTCCATTAGCAGTGTTGGTCCATCACATTGGATACCAATTTTAAAAAGGAAAACACTGAGGTTATGTTTTATGTTTTTTGAAATAGCTTTCACCATTTCAATTCAATCCAGTTCAGTTTGTTTATATAGCATCAAATCACAGCAAAAGTTACTTTGTGAAAAGCAACCACATAGTTCAGTCCCATTATGCAAAACCCATTACGTTATTTACAGACTAAATAGTTTATTTTTCAAAGATCAAGAGCCTAAGATGACAACTTCCATCCTGTCTGAATTTAAAAGCACAAAATGTAAAGTCATCCAGGTTTTCATCTTTTCAAGACCCGCCTCTAGAGTCCAGCGTCTCAACTAACTGATTTGAGTCATCAAAAATTAACAAACTGCATAATATAGATAGAAAGACACAGTAGATACATTTTATCTTGTTAAAGTTATTTAAGGCTGCCATTGAATTTATACATTAAAATCCCAAATCAGGCTTTTTTTTCCCCAGCACAAACATGCAGTAGGCTCGCTCCCCTTGATCGGGTGGCTGCGTAACGCCTCCTTTACAAATACATTCATACTTGTCTAAACACAGGCTGCGTAAGATGTTGCTAAGCAGCCTAAAAATAATCTTATGGGGATAGATGGGAGAAAACAGCGCATCAGAGCAAAAGGGATGGTGTTTTTCGCTGCGAAAGCCAAGGCTTGAGTATCACCTAAGAATTTATGAAACAGAAGATGTTCATCACTGCTTTCAAAGAGCTGTCTTAGAGGTGACTGGCAACAGGGGAGCGTGTGGGGGTCAATTAGGGGTCCCAAAGCACATTAGGGGGGACCCAGCAGGGCCCGAAACACGACCATCTGTCTGCTAAGGCAGCCGCTGCAGGACAGACTGAAGCAGACTTTCAAAACAACCTTCTGCCCCCAGCTGTGCTCGGGAGGTCAAGCTGGAGACTTGGCCGGCTCTGCCTTCAGATGACCTTCTGTGAATTTGGAGGCAAAATCCAGTACATTTAAAAGAGGGAGTGATGCGCTTCAAACAGCAGAGTAGAACGAGCAAGCATGTGCGACAGCAGCTCGGAGAAACTGAAGCTCTTCCAAAAGGGATCTTTCAAGCAAAGGCGTGGCGTTTCTTTTTCACTATGCACAACACGTTGCCATCTATTTCCATCCAGATGTTCAGCCAATAAGAAGCGGCGCTGAATCCAGCGAAGGAAGGAGGCGGAGGGAGGAATGCTGCAGGATGCTCATTATAATGGCTGTCAAACCTCAGTGAAGACAGGATAAAAAAAAAAAAAGAAACAAACAAAGCATATATTTCCATGCGAGGTTGACGTGGAGGACTTTACACCATGCTCGCCGCAGCTGCCACGGTGTTGCTGGGAACGGGTAGGTATCGATTTAAACCGACAGTCATGCGTCGTTCGCGTTTCGTCGTCGATGCTAGTTAGCCGGCTAGTTAGCCCGCTGCCCGTTTTAGCCGCTTCGGTCATTTTTTCCAGAGGGCTCGCGGAGGAGGAAGACGTGGAAAATGGCTACCGGCTGACAGCTCGACCGTTAAAAGCAGGGTTCTGTGTGCCACAACGCGAACAGAACCAGAAAATGTTAAACAATATGTCGACAATAATGCTGTTGCATCGTTTCAGTCGCTTAACCAGTAATTTTAAATGCTCATGTTTTTGTTTAATAGCGGCCCAGCTCCTCCAGTTACACTTACAGGTGCATCTCTAAATTATCAGACGAGAGTTTATTTAGTTTTTCTATTAAAAATACGAAACTCACATAACATATATTGACACATTCCCCTCCCATTTTTTAAATTATAGTGGCTTACGGCTTATTAAAGCCGAATAGTAGAATATTGGCAAACAAAAATGGCTTTTCTTCTGGCCATTGAAGTTCTACGAAATCACGGGGAAAATAGATTGTGGATAGCAATTGACACCGTCCACAAGCCATAAACGGTAACTGCTAATGGTGGCTGCTCGCAAAGTGCTTAGCATTTTGGATGGAAAGTTAAGTGGAAGGAAAAAAAAACATGTTGGATACAGGAACAACAGGAATGATCAAAGTCTTAAGTGGAAGATGAGAGACAAAAGACAGGCTATGTAAAACCAATATAATACCATGTGTATGTTGAATCCATATACGAAGTTGACGTCTTATGCAGAAATTAAATTAAATCCAGCATTTTCTGAGATGCACTTGGCTTAAAATTAGCCATGATCACTTGTACTTGTTATACTAGTACTGCTTAGGTGAATACAAAGATTTTCCAGTACCACAATTTTGACAGGAAAAAAAAGAAACAGACACAATAAAGAAATATGCAAACATATATGTTGACTGGCATTGATTAGTTGAATCATATGGTTTAAATATGTGTTCAGGAGGTGAAAGTTTCTTGTTCAGAGTTGCAAAATGCACATAAAGATGCTAAAATGTGCAATTTTGAATGGAAAAGTGAATGGTTTCCCACCACCTTGGACCACAAAATTCAATATTAGCATAACATTTTTTTTTCTGATTGTCTGAACTCCATTAGGTCTTTCACCCACATTTATTGTCAGTATGTTACAGTGCTAAGTATAAAATGCAGGAAAATCCATTGTTATTGACTTGTATTGCTAATAGAAGTTAGCCTGTTGAGCGTCTGTTCCCTATTCATTTCCGTCCAGTCGTATAATATAAAAATCCAATACATAAAAAGTTAACCAATTCCAGCAAAAGCAGCGAGATCTCAGATCAAAACCAGAGTGGCTAAAACATAAAGGAACATAAAGGTTGTCATGTCAAAAAGATAACTTTTTGCGAGAGCCAGAGGCACAGATTGTAAACATCAGCTGTGTCTGTGCTGACTTAAGCAGGGGAAACGATAACAAAACACTAAATTTAGGATTTCTTGTGAAACTGCTTTTTCTTCTTGTGTCTTACAAGCAGTTGTGTGTAGGTGGGAGGAACATTATTCCAGAATTTGCTGAGAAAA